TGCGCATCTTTTAAGCTATCTCGACTGAGCTCTATTGCGTTTTAAAACGACTGTTTTCTCCTTCATATTTTACCGGACTGCTCCGATTATGCTTCAAACCAAGGGGTAGATCACTCCGCACACCAATCTTGAACCATCTTGTTTTCAGTGTGCCGCAGGTGTGCCGATTGTGTCGGTCATAGAGCAAGATGCGATTATTTGTTAAATACCCATCCCGACAACCCGGTATTTTTGACACTCTGAATGTTTTGGTTTGAAATCGCAAGGATAAATCGGTCTAGCGGCTTTTCGGATTTAAATCTATAAGTGAACCGAGAGGTGAACTGCTGGTCTGAGTTCCTCTGGTATATTTAATTAGAGGATGTTCCTGAATATACAGTCAAACAGCACGTAATGTTGTGAACAACTTCAGTGACCAGCAGTGCTCCCATTTTGTTTACAACAATCAAATTCCTACGAGATTGTGCCGATGGATGTGCCCAAGCTGTGCCGAATATAATTGCGGCACAATGTGCTGAGTGACTTACCCCTTGCGTCAAACTACCATATCAAAACTACTACCGTGTTAAGGACACACCTAACAACACATCAAAAACTAATCGGTCAAGTGCCAAGCTTGCATGTTGGATCGTGACATTTATTTTCATAACGAATCATGCTTCAGCATGAAAAAAAAAATCATAATGCATTATTCGTAGGCACCCTCTCATAAACGAGAACCATAAATTGACCTTACTGAAAATGATTAAAAATTGTTTATAATCTCTGCTGAACTTTAACAGAAATAGTTGTGGAACTTTACATGAACGTTTGTGTAATAAAGTTTTAACCTTATGTATTATGTTTTTTTGGAAGTGGACCTTACAAATAATGGGTTGTTAAGAACCCACTCTAATCCCACTCGAACTCGCGACTCTACGCTAATCGAATCCCACAGTCAGTCTATTCGAGCTATAATGGAGATCGCTACAGCTGCTGACGGGATGATAATCATTGGCGACTTCAATCTACCGGCATTGTCTTGGCGATCATCTTACGGTGGATTCCTGTATCCAGACCACGACCGTTCTACATTTCACTCTGGAGCTGTAAGCCTTTTGGATCATTACAGTATCGCTACTCTGAAGCAAATCAACCACGTGGCTAATGAGATCAATCGTAGCTTAGACCTTTGCTTCGTCACCGCTCAGGATACTCCTCCGCATTTGTCTATGGCTGTTGCTCCGTTGATAAAGACTGTTCCACACCATCCTCCTTTAGTTATTGCACTTGCACGGGGAACTTCTTTCGAATTTGGACTGGCACAGGATAATCGTCCCTGCCGATGTCAATGCAGCTGCCCAAACGCTCTCGCATATTTTGACTTACGTCATTGAGCGACACGTTCCGAAAAAAAAAAGTTCCTAAACAAGGTAATCATCATCCTTGGCAAACAAGTGAACTCCGTATGTTAAAGTCTTCCAAAAGAGCCGCGCTAAGAAAATACACCAAGTACCACACCCTACAACTCAAGGACCATTATGCGAGGATCAATCATGCGTATCAACGAACCAGTCGCCAATGTTATCGGCGTTATCAACGAGATGTTCAACGGAAGCTTCGATCTCACCCGAAAACTTTTTGGAATTATGTGAATGAGCAACGAAAGGAGTCTGGCCTTCCATCGACTATGGTACTGAACGGCGAAGAAGCTTTATCCCCTCAGGACATTTGCCGTCTGTTCTCAACCATGTTTGAGAACCTACCTGACGAGCACGTTTCTCTAGCAGCCAGTAATGTTCCAATGTCTGGTCAATCTTTGGCAGCTATCAACATCGACCTCGCTATGATAACTAGGGCGGCTTCGCAACTGAAGTCTTCATTTAAGCCTGGACCTGACGGAGTTCCTTCCGTCTTTCTCAAGCAACAAATCGATAGCCTGGTGGCTCCTCTCTGCCTTCTGGTCGAAATGTCGATCTCCAGTGGGGTGTTTCCTTACTGCTAGAAATCAGCTGAGATGTTTCCAGTGCATAAGAAGGGATGCAAAAGAAACATCGACATCTATCGCGGCATCACATCGTTGTGTGCCAGATCTTAACTGTTAGAGTTGGTCGTTATGGAACCATTAGCCTCTCACTTCAAGTAGCTTTTGAGCGAAGACCGGCATGGTTTCATGGCAGGGCGGTCGACTACTTCCAACCTTCTGTGTTTCACCTCGTACATTACGGAGAGTATGACAGACCATATGCAAATGGATGTCATCTATGCCGACCTATCAGTCGCCTTCGACAAGTTGAACCATCCTATAGCGATCGCCAAACTGGATAGGCTCGGTATAAACGGCAGTCTCCTACGATGGTTCGCATCTTTTTTATCCGTGGGTAAAAATTTATTAAAATCTGGGTATAACTAGTTTGGAGTGAATTGAGCCGGCGCCGGTGGTGTAGTAGGTGGTGCGTGACTGCTTTCTAACACCCCAATGGGTCTGGGTTCAATCCCAGCCGAGGTCGGTGGGATTTTTCTGAGGCATAAAAATCTCTGGTCACGTCTTCCTTCGGAAGGGAAGTAAAACCGTTGGTCCCGGCCCATGTGTGTTGAATGGGTGCGATATCCTACGCAGGTGTGGAAGCTGCCTTCCTGCACATTCGATTGCCGTTAATGGATGGCAATCGATGTCCGTCGGTGATTGGCACTAGATTGCGGAACAGAGATCGACGTTAAATAAAGGAAAAAGAGAGAGAGAGAGAGAGAGAGGAGTGAATTGTTTACATGTGCAAAATTTCATAACAATCGGTTCAGTGGTTATTGAGATGTCATCGAAACAAGAAGAAAATCGCCGGAGAATTTTGCGCGCCGTCATGGAAAACCGACTGCGACCTTGAGATGGATCGGAAGACAACTGGGAATCACCCATACAACTGTGTCTCGGGTGGTAAAATCGTTTAAGGAGTCCCAGACGACCGAGCGGCGGGCTGGAAGTGGAAGAAAATCGCAGACAGCTGACCCTGTGAAGGCCCGGAAGGTGTTGGATTATTTCAAGCGTAATCCGAACCTTTCGATTCGCGACGCGGCTCTGAAGGCAAAGTGTTCCGCCTGGTCCGTTCAGCAAACCATGAAAAGAGCTGGGCTTCGTGTATTCAAGGTCCGGAAGGCACCGAACCGGCGTCCAAATCCCGCGCAAGGAAGCTGTATCGAGAGTGGTTAACGAAACCGATGTGTGTGGTTATGGATGACGAAACCTACATCAAGGCAGACGCAAAGCAGATACCGGGGCTGGAGTTCTACGTTGCCAAATCACGGTTTGATGTTCCGGAAGACATAAGGAAGAAGAAAGTGGACAAATTCGCCAAAAAATACTTGCTCTGGCAGGCCATATGCCAATGCGGTAAACTGAGTAAACCGTACATCACAATGGGTATCATCAACAGCGAAATTTACCGCACCGAGTGCCTCCAGAAGCGTCTGTTGCCCTCCTGCGGTTCCATGGAGGCGAGACATTATTTTGGCCGGACCTGGCATCATACCATTACGCGCGATCGACGTTGGATTGGTACAGAGACAATAACGTTGTTTTTTGTACCAAAAACTGCCAACCCCCCCAAATTCACCAGAGATTCGTCCGGTGGAAAGATTTTGGGCCATAATGAAGGCCAAAGTTCGAAAATCGTCCAAGGTGTTTAAGAACGAGCTGGAGTTGAAGAAAGAATGGATGAAAGTGACAAAAAAGGTCGGTTCCACCATTGCACAAAACGTAATGAGGGGTCTTAAGGGAAAGGTGCGGGCTTTCAGTGATGGAAAGGAAATTGAATAAAGTAATTATGCCGAAACATAATCCATATGTATTAGTTCATTCCCTGAAAGTTTCAAGAAAATCCGACTTAAAAATAAATTTTTGGCGAACACTTTTGTCTGGTGCATTTTTTTCGAGTACAGGCCTTATCTATCTGATCGCCAGTTGGAAGTTGCAATCGACGACTGCCGATCTCCTTCGTTCCCTGTCACTTCGGGTATTCCGCAAGGTAGCCACCTCGGCCCGTTGATATTTCTTGTGTATTTCAACGACGTCAATTTCGTTCTGGACGGTCCACAACTGTCGTTTGCAGACGACATGAAAATCTATCTCCGAATCCGAGCCATCGCTGACTGCCACCTTCTCCAACTCCAACTCAACGCTTTTGCTAATTAGTGCCAACTGAACCGCATTGTTGTAAATCAAACAAAATGTCCAGTAATCACGTTCTCACGGAAGAAACATCCAATTACATTCAGTTATATCCTAGAAGGCGTTGACGTACATCGTGTGAATCACATTAAGGAGCTGGGAGTTATCTTAGATTGTCAACTCACATACAGCCAGCATATCTCGTACGTGATCGACAAGGCATCCGGAACGCTCGGCTTCAGTTTCAGGATAGCTAAAAGTTTCACGGACATCTACTGTTTGAAGTCGCTTTACTGCTCCCTCGTCCGGTCGGTGTTAGAATACTGTTGCCCTGTATGGAATCCCAATTACCAAAACAGTGTACAACGAGTAGAGTCTATTCAACGACGATTCATCTGGTTTGCCCTTCGACGATTGCCTTGGAGGGATCCTCATCGCCTTCCAAGCTACGAAAGTCGGTGCCAGTTAATTCACCTGGATCCTTTGTGGAGTCGAAGAGATGTCCTTCTATTCTACAACAAATCGACGTTAACGTTCAACCACGAGTACTCCGTAACAACGCAATGCTGAGGATACCTTTTCGTTGTACAAACTATAGTTCGTATGGTGCTAGCAATGGGCTACAAAGGGTTTTCAATCGTGTTGTAATTCAAGCTGAACATTGCATTAGGTCATAAGTAAAATTAATCGATTCTCTTCTTCGACTTTCTCGTTCGTTAATAACTTGACATTGCAGTCATCTTCCGGGAACCCCCAGGGAAATAACACATAAGTGTCCCGCTGGTTGACACAAAAAGCGCTTGTTTTTAATACCACTGGCAATATTCCCCCAATAATCTGGGAAATTCTTCTCTTCCAGGCTGATGGACCCGAACAACCAGCTGGGCTTAGCAGGCCAGCTGAACATCAAATCGGAACCGGTGGACACGTCCCAATCGGCAATGGACCTATCGGGAAGCAGTGCCCTGAATGTGAACGTTGGTTCGTCGGCAACAGATCTCCATTCCACGAGGGACGATACCACCGCTACGGAGCATGAAGACGACAACGACGGTGATGACGAATCGGAAGATGACACCTTCTTCCGACTGGACAACCGGACCTATCAGTGCAAATTCTGTCCGGAAATATTCCGCCACCTGCAGCAGATTCGGAAGCACACCAAAGTGCAGCACCCGTCCGAGTGGAAGAGCTTCAAGTGCGTGCACTGCAAGCGTCGGTTTCCCTCGGGCCCGATGCGCGATCGCCATGTCCATTTCCATAGCTTGAACCACCCGTTCAAGTGCACCGAGTGCGACCAGATGTATCGTTCGAAGAAGAGGCTGGAGAAGCATTTTGAAGTCTTTCACGACAGGACTTCGCACAATTTTTCAATGGAACGATTCCATTGCGGATCGTGCGATTTGACGTTCGTCGAGAAGAAGTACTATGATCTGCATGCGAGGATCTATCACGAGAGGAAGCCACAGCGGTTGAAGAATCTCTCCGACAAAATACAGGTGTGCGAGAGGTGTGTCAAGACATTCGATTCGCGGGAATTGTTGATGGAACATATCCGGGAAACACATCAGGGTGATCCCCCGTTGAAGAGCTGCATATGTCAGACGTGCTCGAAGGATCTGAAGACGGTGACTCTGCTGAGGATTCACATCCTAGTGGTCCACATGGGAATTATGCCGTTCGTTTGTCAACATTGTAACGCCGAATTCTCCACGCGCCATTGGCTTTTGAAGCACTTGGAGAAGGAACATTCCGAAATTGCCTTGTACAAGTGTCCGTCTTGCGATGAATCTTTCACCACCGAATCGAGGATGACAGAACACAAGGATAAGGTTCACGCGCAGCTCGAAATTGAGTTTGATCCTCAGTCAGGAAAGTCCGTATATCCGTGCGGCAAGTGCGAGAAGAAGCTCGAATCAAAAGATGTTTTGGATAAACATCTGCTGAAGGCCCATCCGTCGTTCATGTTGATGTACAAGTGTCCTCTGTGCCCGCAGTCAGTTCGCTACCGGAAGCAGCACATGCGTGTCCACCACGACGTCGAGTACGATGCCAAAGAGCACCATTATCAGGTTCGCTACAAGTGTCACTGCTGTTCGAAGCTGTTCCAACAGAAGCGCAATCTTCTGTCGCATCAGAACTCGCTCTCCAATCAGTGCAGTCGCTGTCAGATGAGATTCAAGACGAAGAAGAACCTGCAGGCGCACATGGCGGCTCACCGGACCAACAAATCGCTCAAATGCGAAGACTGCGGACTGGACTTTGGTTACCGGGGTCGATTGGAAGAACATCGGAAACGGTACCACAGTGCCACTTCGACACAGGTTCTGAAGATCATCAACTGTCCGTACTGTCCGAAGTTGTTCATCAGCCCGAGCAACCGGGAACGCCACATTGCAGCCAATCATGTACAAAGCGAATTCAAAGTCAATTGCGGTCACTGTCCGGTGCAGGTGACGGACACAACGCAGCTGAGGAAGCACTACAAGACCGTACATCCAGAGGAGCGTGTTACGTTCAAGTGTCCAGGGTGCGAGAAGTTTTACCTGAATTTGTCTAGCTTTAAGGACCACTACAAAAAACATAAGAAGGGAGATGGAGAAGACGATAAGGAAGAAATGAATAGCACAACTGAAGCGGTCGAGGATGGAGAGAAGGAGGCGAATGACCAGAATGTAGGTGGAGCGTTGGAATCGATACTGATCAAAGAGGAGACGAATGTCCTGAGTGGAAACGCAACAAATCCTAGGGAAAGTGCAGCTAAGGGAATCGAAGATAATGCAATGAATGTTGGCGAACCTTCGGAACAGGAGATAAAGGTTGAGATCAAACAAGAGCCGCTGGAAAACGGGGAAGCAGCAACATCAAAAGACCTGGCTGAAGGGGAGAAATTGATAGTTGCCGAAGAAACAAACGAAACAAAATCGGCGGTGTTGGATGAGCAGAAGATTGATTTCGTTGAGGCCAAGGAAGAATGTCAAGAATCGATAGTAGAAGCTGTGACAGCTGAACAACCAGGACCATCAGTGGAACATCAGGCGGCTACCGAAGAAACGACTGCAAAGGAAAAGCCTGTTTGGCTGACAGCTGAAGAACTGAAGCAAGAGGAAAAGATGGTGGTTGAAGAAACAGCAGAGACGAAACCAGAAGAACCAGTCGCTTTTGAGGGTCCAGATGAGAGGATGGTAGTTGACGAACCGACGGCAGAAGAGCATGTGAAAGTCGAGGAAACGGTACACCTGTCAACCAATGAGTCTACAGCAACGGTGCAACCGAAACAAGACATTCCCCAAGAAAATGTGTCGGTAGTGGAAGAAAAATCTACTCTCGAAAAACCGACGTCAGACGAGAAGATGGAGGTCGATGAAATGGCTGAAGAGACACCCTGTAAGTCAACATCAGAAGTGCAGCAACAGGAAAGCACTTCGGACCACGACGTATCAGTAGTTAAAAAAGAGCATCCAGAAGAAAATCCAACGACCGAAGAAGAAATTGACAGTAAGCCTGCGGAAGAGGTGACTGCCTCCGAGAGCGAATCGCCAGAGGAACAAAAGTCAGCAGTCGAAGAACCGAATCCAACTGAAACGGCAATTGCCGAAGTCGCAATACAAGATCTGAAGGTAACGGTCGAAGGAGAAATCACCTGTAAGCCTGCGGAAGAGGTGAAATCCGAACAAGAGACTAGCTCCGAGAGCTCAGCAGTCGAAGAACCGAAGCCAAATGAAACGACAATGGCAGCAGGAGAAACGAATTCGGAACCAGCGGCAGTCCAAGAGGAGCAGGTAACGGCCAATGCAGAAATTAACAGTAAGCCTGCAGAAGAGGTGAAACCAGAACAAGAATCTAGCTCCGAGAGTGTATCGCCAGAAGAACAAACGTCAGCAGTCAAAGAACCGAAGCCAAACGACACTACCATGGACGAAGTAGCAACAGAAGAACTGAAGGTTACGGTTGATGGAGAAATTACCAGTAAGCCTGCTGAAGAGGTGAACTCAGATCAAGAGACTAGCTCCGCGAGCTCAGCAGTCGAAGAACCGAAGCCAAATGAAACGACCATGGTCGAAGAAACAACAGAAGAACTGAAGTCGGAACCAGAAACAGGTCAAGTATTGTTGAAGCCAGAAGAGAAGACAACAGTCGAAGAAACGACGACGCCAGACGAATCAGTCAATAAGTCAGAAACGGCTGAGGTCAAGCCGGAACAAGACATAGCTCTAGAGAATGTAGTATTAAGTGAAAATCCTAGTTTAAGTGACGCACCGCTGGTAGAATCTTGTAGCAGTAAGAAAGAAAATAGCGAACGTGTTGATCCATCGATTACGGAAAAGATGGATCAGGAAGGTGTGGAGAATGAAGAGCGGATGGTTCAGCAGGATGATGAAACAAACAAAGAGAAGGAAGGTGAAACAGCAGAAGAGCCGCCTGTCGAAAAACGTCTAGAGGAATGTCTTCCAGAATGTTCGAATGTTGACGAAAACCCAGAAGAAGCCTCTCTACTCTCTGAGCACTCGGAATCAAAACAAGAGAATGCCGTCGATGAGATACTTCCGAAGGATGTTGCAAACGAATCCGAAAAAAGTCATCCCGCTGAAGAAGAGCAGGAACAGAAACTAGAATCTCCAGCTGCAGTTGACGAACCCCAGGAACCTTCCCCGGAAGATCCTGCCTCTTCGGTGCAGAACAGCAGAGATGATCCTCCCCTGGAAGATCTCCGCTCAGTCAACAACTCCCCTGCTTCCACCTTGGTTGAATCGCCGTACACGATCGTGGAATCGTCTAACGAGGCATCAGAAGTGTCGGAATCATCCGCCGTTTCGGAGCGGAGCACGAAAACGAAAATTGCCGGCGAGAGGCGACGTATTTCGACGCGGAATATCCTCAAAAGAAAAAAGAAACTTGTAGTATTACTTGAACCTGTCGATATCGACAAGCTGATGGAGCTGAGTCGAGGCAGCTCGTCCTCTTCATCGCCATCGTTGGAAAAGGTTGCCATGAAGGGTTCCGGTGGTTCCAGTAGCGAATCGCAACCCGTGGAGGACGGTGTCCGGGCCAAGCGATTGCGGCGTGAACGACAGACCCCGACCTCGGACACCGTCGCAGGAGATTCGTAAGTATTCAAAGAATATATATAGGTATATTGTGTTAGTAGTCTATGTCGAATTTCGTCTCAGAATTTACTATAAATGTACTCTCCCCATCAAACAAGCCCCCATCTCCCACCCCCCTTACCCGTCGTATGTAATGATATATCAATAAACCGAATTAGTGTGGTGAAAGTTGGGTTGTTTTTCTCTTTCCGATAGTTGTGAAATTTCTATAATTTTCTGTAGGTCTAGTTTTCCCAAGTGGGTTATCATACTGATAATTTGGGTTTTCCGGGCACTGTAACTGTAAGTTCGCCTTCAACTGTGGATTATCAACGCGAATAATGGAAGTGGTCTGGAGTGGTAACATAGTTTGGTGGAGAAAGGCAAACCATCGTTATGGAGAACCGGAGTGAAGTCGTCCGACGGGGAGCCACGGTAGTTTTCGAAGATGCAGAATGTTGCAATTCCAAGGGCACACCTTCGAACCATTCACGAAGGAACACTCGGAGGATTGTCCGCACGAGTGGTTTAGGAAGTTTGGTGAGTTGAAAAAGAAGTCGGTGAGTTGAAGAAGATGAATTTGGATAATAGAACCGATATCGTTGACCTGTGGCGTCGGTGAATGTTGCTTGGAAGATGAATTTCGACAGTGAGCATGCTTAAGGGCGTAAACGCGATGATCGATTTTCTCTTTTGTTAATAACTCGCTAGAATTAACGTTTCTCGGTACGTTTGCTGTTGCTTTTGATAGCCAATACAACCTGTTACAACTCTGCATTGACCAAATTCTAGAAAATTGTTTCGCTTAGCTGTAGCAATGCAAAGAGAGAATCGATCATCGCGTATACGCCCTTATGCATGCTCTCTGTCGATTTGTCCGACTACCTTTACCGAAGCAAGCTCTTGAACTGGTGCTGTTGTTGTCAGTAGCTCATGGTGATTCCGGACGACTCCACACGCTACTCGATAACATTAGGCACACATTTGATGAGTTCGCTGAATCCAAAAAAGAGCATTTCACAGGGTACTGCAGCATCGGGAAACAACAGCCGTAAATCTACTGGTGGAGGTGTCCTTGTAGCTGTCCGTAGCGGGTTGGAGGCAAAGGCCATCGAGAACGATTCATGGAACAATGTGGAGCAGGTTTGGACAGCCATCAATCTGGGTGATCGCACACTATTTCTATGCGCTCTGTACATTCCACCTGATCGAGTCCGCGACAATGAACTCATCGATACTCACTGTCGGTCAGTTTTCACAGTTGTCGAAAGTTCCACTCCAGTTGATGAGATATTCATTTTTGGTGACTTCAATCTGCCAGGCGTTTCGTGGAGTCCATCTCATAGCGGATTCCTGTATCCAGATCCTGATAGCTCTACATTTCTCAAATTAACCATGTAGTTAATGAAAATGGTCGTAGTTTGGACCTCTGCTTCGTGAGCACACAGGACAGGGCTCCATCAATTTCCTCGGCTCCTTGTGCACTAACTAAGCTAGTTCCACATCACCCTCCTCTAATTGTCACTGTTGAGGACAAACTCGTGAGTGATTTTGGCGACTATACTGCTACGGTTTCTTATGACTTCCGTAAAGCTGACCACCGTAGCATCATAGATGTATTGTCTAGCATGGTATGGGAGAACATCCTTGATCCAGATGACGTTGAGGCTGCAGCGCAAACCTTTTCACATGTCTTGGCATATGTCATTGACAGACACGTCCCGAAAAGAACTCACCACAAAGTGTCTCACCCTCCCTGGCAAACGAGAGAGCTACGTAGGTTGAAGTCAATCAAGAGAGCAGCCTTGAGAAGATTTACGAAGTATCGCACGCTTCCTCTGAAACTACATTATGTGAGGCTGAATCACATGTACCAGCGAGTCAGTCGTGAATGCTTTTCAAGTTTCCAACGAGGCATCCAGCGCAAACTTAAGCTACATCCGAAATCCTTTTGGAACTACGTGAACGAGCAACGGCCTCCCATCGTCTATGAAATTCAACGGAGAAGTTGCTGCCACCGTTCAGGATATATGCCACCTTTTTTCCGAAAAGTTTGCCAGTGTATTCACTAATGTCTAACTGACGACCATATTAACCTGGCTGCCATGAACGTTCCAGTAAATGATCAAACGCTGGGTGCAATTGATGTTAATGCAGAGATGATTTCTAAGACCGCGACTCTGCTCAAGACATCCTTCAATCCTGGGCCAAATGGAGTTCCAACTGCATTTTTGAAGAGACATATTGCTAGCTTGTTAATTCCACTTCTTCGTCTGTTCCGAATGTCTCACTACAGTGGCATATTTCCATCTTGCTGGAAATTTGCGCACATATTTCCCGTCCACAAAAAGGAAGGAAACGAGCTGTGGATAACTATCGAGGAATTACATCGTTAAGTGCCGTTTCGAAGCTATTCGAGCTAGTGATTATGGAACCGTTGCTGTCTCATTGCAAGCAGTATTTGAGTGCTGATCAACATGGGTTTACTGTCGGCCGCTCTACAACCACCAATCTGGTGTGTCTCACATCGTATATAATCGAAAACATGTCGGATCGGGTTCAAACGGACGTTATTTATTAACATCTATCCGCAGCATTCGACAAGTTGAACCATGCTATTGCGATTGCTAAACTCGGCGGCCCGGTGTATGCGGTAAAGGGTGTCCACGATGAAATTGCCACACTATGAAATTGCTCTAACTTTTTAACCGTTGGGTAGAATTTAATGAAAATTTGGGTGGATTTAGTTCATAGTGCATTATTTACATCCTGCAAGTTTTAAAGTCCTGTGATCAAAACTCGCGGAAATTGAGTCGAAAGAACAGCTCGTGCGTGATAAAATCTTGCGCATTCATCACGAGAACAAGGATCTCTCGCATCGTTCCATCGCTAAAACGTTGGGAATCGCGAATTCCACGGTGTCGCGAGTGATTAAGCGGTTCGAGGAACGGTTGACCACCGATCGGAAGCCCAGAAGTGAAGGAAAAAGTATTCCGTACAACACCAAAAATCACAACCGCGTAGTTGGGGCCTTCAACCGAAATCCGAACGCCTCCGTTAGGGATGTGGCTAAGAAGCTGCACCTAAGCCGAAGTTTTGTCCAGAAGGCCAAAACTAAGGCTGGGCTTCGAACGTTCAAGGTACAAAAGGCCCCTAATCGCGACGAGAAGCAGAACAAGTCCGCCAAAACCCGTGCCAGGAAGTTGTACCTCAACATGCTGACGAAAGTTGAATGCTGCATCATGGACGACGAAACATATGTGAAGGCCGACTTCAAACAGATCCCCGGCAACCTATTTCACGGCCAAGGATAAGTTCAGCGTTCCGGAGCATGTCCGCACTCAGAAGATGTCCAAATTTGCGAAGAAATTCCTGGTTTGGCAAGCCATCTGCACGTGCGGGAAGCGGAGTGCACCTTTCGTGACCCAGGACACGATGAACGGACAGGTGTACATAAAAGAGTGCCTCCAGAAGCGGCTGCTTCCTCTCCTGAAGGCCCACAACGTCCCAACAATCTTCTGGCCGGATTTGGCCTCATGCCACTACTCCAAGGACGTGCTGAAGTGGTATGCGGACAATAAGGTCAATTTCGTGCCGAAAATGTTCAACCCTCCCAACACTCCGGAGCTCCGCCCCATCGAGAAGTACTGGGCGATTATGAAGCAGCACCTTCTTAAACGACCTAAGGTAGTAAAGACAGTCGAGGAACTGAAGAAAGTATGGGTTTACATGCAAAAAACGGTTGATTCACAGGTTGTGCAGAATCTTATGGCCGGGGTTAAGGCCAAGGTGCGGGCATTTGCGTATGGACTGTAAATAAAATACGAGTAAAATGGTAAAATGAAGTTTAATAGTTATTTCTCAATCCCTGAAAATTTGATGGCAATCGGATGAAACCTCGAATTTTGCGAATCAATTTTGTGTGTGGCAATTTCATCGTGGACACCCTTTAATCTTCTGAGTTGGTTTCGATCATATCTTACCGGTCGGCAACTAAAGGTTGCCATAGGAGATTGTAGATCAGCTAGCTTCTTCGCTACATCAGGTATACCTCAGGGAAGCCACATGGGACCGTTTATTTTTATACTGTACTTCAACGACGTGCACCCTGGTCATCAAAGCTCCTCGGTTATCATATGCAGATGATCTTCCTACGAATCTGCTCCATTGCTGACTGTCACTTTCTTCAACGTCAGCTGTGTTGCCCCGTAACGTGGGTAGATCGCCTTTTCGTGGTACGTTACGGGATGTAAGATCTACCACCGATTCCTAGTCCTGACTACTTCAAACTAGAGGCACAGGATTTTTCAGTAATCCAAGGAACACATCTTAGTCCTTGTTACTTTTTATGCCTTGATGATAGTGACAAGACTCGGCTTTGTCTACCGAGGATGATCTTGAAACAAGGAAAAAAAATGAGTTAGTTGTCTTCATCTATGTGATTCCTAATCTTCTATTCGTTGTTCCCTAGTTTGAAGTGGTTAAGACTAGGGTTCTGATGCATGGTCATTATCGGTGTCATACCTTAATTTTGTTGCTAAGGAATCCAATTTTGACTGACAAAGGGGCGCGTCTTGGAGGGTGTTTCAACACTCCGAAGGGTATAAAGGGTGATACGGTCAAAATTTGGTCAAGGGAAAACGCGTGTAAATCGGTGAAATCGTTTATTTAAAAAATCAAATTAAATTTCTTTTTCAAGTTCAATTAGTATAAAATTCAGGAAAAATATTCAGTTAGGCTTCCGCTTTTCCAAATCCGAATTGCCGGGCCTTACGCTTGACCCCTGCCATCAGATTTTGTACAGCCACCTTGTCCACCTTCTTCGCCGCAGAAAGCCAGTTTGCCTTGAACTGCTGCTCGCCCTTAGCAGTTTTTTTGGTCTTCTTTAGGTTCCGCTTGACAATAGCCCAGTATTTCTCAATTGGGCGGAGCTCTGGCGTGTTGGGAGGGTTCTTGTCCTTGGGAACCACCTGCACGTTGTTGGTGGCGTACCACTCCATGGCCTTTTTACCGTAATGGCAAGATGCCAAATCCGGCCAAAACAGTACGGAACAACCGTGTTTCTTCAGGAAAGGCAGCAGACGTTTATTCAAACACTCTTTCACGTAAATTTCTTGGTTGACAGTCCCGGAAGCTATGAAAATGCTGCT